CTGGAGGTTTTGAGATTAATCATTAAGAAATTGGGAAGTTGTTCATTTTGGGACTGTTGGAGAAAACTTCTGTGACTGGGGGGTAATTCCAGGAGCTCACCCTTTGCTAAAACACCTCCTTCCAATCCTGATTCATCAGCATTCCCCACTCCCTCTTCAGAGACAAGCATCTCAATAACGGTATTGTAAAAGAGAAGAGAATGCTGGAGAATTGTGGGGAAAACTTAAATCAGCCTTCCCCATCTGTCAAAAGGAGGAGAGGGGAAGCTATCACAGACTAGCAGTGATAGTCTGCTATCAGCCCTATGCCCCTGGGCACCTTGCAGCCCACCCTTCTAGGCAACACCTGGGACTAACATCCAGGTTCAATGCATTTGCCCACCCTGCCCCAGCAGCTACAAATGGCACCAGCCTCAGTAAATTCTGCAGCTGTGGGGAGGGGAGAAGTGGACAGGTCAGAACTGTGATGAAATTCCCTAAGCCCTGCCACCAAGAATTATCACAACTGGTAAGGCCCTGCATCAGCCACCCAAACCCCTGGAAGGCCTGGCAATAGCATTATGAGGTGAGAAGCCACCTTTTACTGTTGGTAAACCCCTTATTCCTCTGTTCCAGTTTTGGAATTTATGGAAAGTTATTTTGTTTCTGTTTGTCCTGATTCCTGATTTATAAAGAAAAAAATAATAGTGGTTGTTGTTATGGGATCAAAATGATATAATGATTGTAAAGTGCTTAAAACAATGACTGGCATATGTTAGACAACATTATTATTATCTCTCTAATTTAGTGTAGTTGTTCCATACCTAATAACTTTGAAGTGGTTTTTAAATACCATGGGTGATAAGATCAATAATTTCTATATGTGATAATCTAGAAATGTAAGTGATGTCATCTGAAGTTTATTGTTTGTGTTGTTAGTATGTTTCTAAATTGTATTGTATTTCTAAAACTCTCTTAGACTGTAAAATTTGAGAGATCATTGTGAGGTAGAAATGGTGCATGTGGATTAGTCTTTTAAAAGGATGTGATAAAATTGGATAATTTAAAAACTGTTAACATTTAATGAGGTATATTTGGTTGTAAGCAGGTAATTAATTAGTTCTGTTTCAAGTTTTAATAACCAATAACTGTTTATGGTATGGTTATATTTTTGAGATTTATTTTTTATATTGTGCAATTTGGTAAACAAATTGTATTAGCTATTTCTCTTTTAAATCAGAGATGTTAGATCAAGAATTGTTACCCCTCCAAAAATAATATATATATATATATATATATATATATATATATATATATATATATATATATATATATATATGTATAGTGGTGAATGAATGGGTTAGAATAAACTTCCAAGTTTTATTTGCTTTTAAGAGCAAGTTTCACCAAAGTTCTTATCAAGTTTGTAAAAGTTTCCTGTGTTGTGGAATTCTTGAGTAAATGAGAATCCTTGAGATATGTTAATTTGGAGATTTATGGACTATCACATTCACTATCTATGTGAGATTCCAGGGAAATACTTTTAGAAGAAATGTCTTGTTTGATTTTTTTTGAACACCTACTAAATTTTCATTTGCAAATTAATTTATTGCTAAATTATTGTAATGCGCTGTAAAGCAGAAGAGATCTTGCTGTTTGAACTGAATCTGTAGTCATTCCACAGCAAGAGTTAAATTAGTGTTAGAATTTATATGTATAAGATTCAAATCCTGAAGTATCTCATCCTTTCAGAGTGAGCATAATCAGAGAAGAATAAACAAGCTTGTGAACAAGGACTTAAATCCATCAGCTTGTGAGGTTAAAGTCAGTAACCTCTGTGTTTTGTTTAAGGAATAGGATTCTAGCACAGATAGTCATGTTACTGAAGAGTACCTACTTATGCCCTCTTTTATGTTAACTTAATGGGAAATCTAATATTATTTTTAATCTGGAATTAGAACATGCGAAGAAATTTATACAAACTTCTGAAGACTCACCTTAAGATGTCCCCATTGTTTTAAGGAATTATGAGAGCAGTAGTATTTTTCTGTGACCAAACTCTTACTGTCACCAATGTGAGGATAAATTTTTATTATCTAGGATATGTGACTTTATGGGACAGCAATTTACTACTGTTTTGAGCTTTGATTACCAGGATAATTGTCTGAGTTGTCATGGAGCCAATAGTAGAATGGCATGTGCTGCAGGCTCGTAACTGATAAAGGTGGATATCTGTGCCTGGGAAGAGTTTTGAGGATGACCTTGGACACAGCCTAGGTAGGATCTTCCTGACTCCAGGTAGGATCTTCCTGACTCTATTTCCCAATTGTGCTATTTCCTTTCTGAAAAGGAAAATTCCCCACCTAATTAATCCTAAGCCCTGCTTTTAACATCCAGTGACTACGTGATTGGCTATCAGATATGACTCATGCCTGGAATCATATAGAGCTAAGGAAGTTCTTTCCTTCTGATATGATATATTATCTTGCCCCTTTGGAACATCTCTGATTTACCATAATAGGATGCAAGTTTGAATAGCTTACAGTTTTAACTTACATTCATGGCCAAATAATAATAATATAGGGATATCATCCTCCTAAGGAGGAAATATTTCGACAAAGTAATAAGACAAAGATGTAATGTGATAGATGTGTAATTAAATAGGATAGCAAATTTTGAGAAAAGCAACAAGATTAGACTGATTCCTCCAAGAATTATATACAGATGTATATGACTGGCTTCCAAAATGTATCTATCATGGAAATCCAAGCTTTAAGCATGTTTAGGTAATAGGATCTCAAATTTAGATTTTTTTACACCAAAAATTGTATAGGACAGTGATAATAGTAAGTGAAATTATTTCTCCTTTATTAAAGTATCTGGTAATTTTTAAAAAGGCAGAAGAGCTCATTTTCTGCTTGGATCTTCACATTTAAAAAGATTCTTATACCAGGTACAGGATGTAGGTAAGAACAGAAGCAGCAGATGATATCAAAAATGGACAACCAAATTTTAGTGATTCGACTAATTTATACTAAAACAGAAGTATCTGGGAATTTCTAAATCTAAACCGGAGAAATAGAACTCTCTTTTTGAACTGCCTATAAATTAAACCTATTGTACATGAGCAAGGAACTTAATGTTAGTCAACATCGGTAGTAAAGATTGTATTGATTTGTATGGTTCATGTTTAAGGTTTTCTTGGTTATCTTGGTGACATGTAAATCTCCCTTCTCAAAACTAGTCTATCGTGAACCCTCTAAGTAATTTAATCTGTACCTGACTTGATGTAATTATGCAATTTTGTGACTTATGAGAAAACTTCATTGTATTGTTTGAACCTAGCTCTGCGTGGCTGGGAAAACCGAACCATCTCTATGTGCCTTTAACTAAAAACTTATGTTATGCTATTTTCTCTCAATTATCAACTCATATATCTTCTAAGAGCCCCTATAAGGTCTATGTGACTACTTCCATAGCTGCCAACTTCTGGATGTGGACTCTGGGATCCTCTGAAGATGCCTGCTGCAAGTGGACATCTCTTCCCACCCCCCTGAGGAAGAGGTAGGTTTTTTCCTGCATCTTTCTTGGTTTCCAGGTGAAGCCTTCAGCTTACCTTTGACCAAAAGGGGGAAATGATAATCATTTAAGATCAATTGAGACCCAATAAGGGACAAAAACCTGAATTAATCTTTTCTCTCTGAGTAAACTAAAAATACCCCTTCCTATGTCAGCAACTACAGGACCAGATGGAACTGATCAGCATTCTTCCTGTTTGTGATCACTAAGGACAGGATACCTGGGACCAGACACTGTCTTGAATAGTGGGACTTTTCTTATCTTGGTATCCTATGGACATATGTTATGTAGAGGAAACACATCCTGAATATATAATTTTGATTAATACTTTGATGTTCTTCTATTGTATTTACAATCTACGGAATTAAGAAACTTCCTTTTTTATGCTGTATGTTAAGAAACATATGGAGGCTATACCTTTTTTTAGTAACACAGTCATCCTGAGTCAGGATTTAAATGTCCTCCAAAAATTGCTTGAGTCAATCAGAATTAAAGCTCTGATTCCATGTGCATGCGCTACTTAAGGGAATAAGGAATAAAACAATATAAATTTATTTATCACCTGGCTTTTTGTCTCTTTAACCAACTTTCAGGTCAACAACCTCAATATCTCCTCAGATTAGTGCTACAGAGAGGGTAAGTTTATTCGAACTTCACAGATCAGAGATTTGAAACACACATAGTTATATCCAGTCAAAACAAAAACTACCATTTATGAAGTGAAAGGAATATAATTTTGATATTATGAGAGATCACCTAGCAGGGGAAGCTAGGTGGTGCAGTGAATAGAGCTCTGGCCTTGGAGTCAGGAGGAACTGAATTCAAATCCAGTCTCAGACACTTAGCACAACTAGCTGTGTGATCTTGGGCAAGTCACTTAACTTCGACCACCTCACCAAAAAAAAAAGAGAGAGAGAGAGAAAAGAAGCTTCAGATTCCTTCCAATTACAGTGTCATCATCCTCTCATATGTGTATGAATACACATGGGATATGTATGTATACATATAGATTTGCATACATACATATTGGGAAGATCATATGCATAATATAGACATATAAAAATATATGCATATATATTAAATGTATCTACAGGTAGATATGTTTTCCACATGCACAGTGTATACAAAAATGCTATAGGATGTATAGTAAATGTTCAGTAATTCCTGATCTCCATCATGTTTGACAACTACAGAGAAATTAGTCACCATGGACAAAACATAAACCATTAAAAGAATATATCATATCTCTAGACCTGCAGGCAATAGAAATGGGAAAGATTCTCAGGGAAACAAAGGAGATTAGATAGATAGATAGATAGATAGATAGATAGATAGATAGATAGATAGATTGACAGATGGATGGATGGGATAGATGTTCACTGTGAATTTGGAAAAAACCACAGACCTTGAAAATTTTTCAGCCTCATACATCACCTGTTATTCTAAGTGGTCTCCTTGTGCTCAGTGTTCTTGACTTCCCTTTCTAAGTCATTCTCCTCATGGCCTGTCTGAATGAGGGGGTTTATATCTGGTCTCATATTCAATTTACTCACTGTGTCTCTTGTATAGTAAGACATGGTTGTGTCCTCAGCTTTAAGAGAATTCATTTGCAGGTGCAGCATGCTGTTGCTGTAGTCCCTGGTGATGGTGAATCGGCCCTTCACAGAGCCTGCATAGTGTGTTCCTCCATTAGTACTAATATATGTGAGCTGCTCCAGCCCCTTCCCTGGAGCCTGGTGGACCCAGTCCATACCACAGCTACTGAAGGTGAATCCAGAAGCTTTGGAGGAAAGGCTAAGAGATCCTCCAGGCTGTCTCACATCACCCTCAGACTCTACCAGCTGAACATCAAAATGGACACCTGCAAATAAAGAGTCCTTTAAGACGATAGTCACACAAAGAAACCACTTGAAAGAGTGTATCCTTGGTCAAAAAACAAACAAAAAGCAAAACTACCTTGTAAAAGAGTCAGAATGAAAATTCCTTTCAGTCCTAAACCCATTGTTCAGGCTCCACAGCGTCAGTTCTTAGGAAACACATTTGAAAAAGAGTGAAGGTAAAAGGCTGGAGTAGAATATATTTTGCTTCAGCTAAAGTAAAAAAAGCAGGGGTAGCAATCCTGATCTCAGACAGAGCAAAAGCAAAAATAGATCTTATCAAAAGAGATAAGGAAGGAAACTGCATCCTGCTAAAAGGCATCATAGACAATGAAGTATTATCATTACTAAACAGATATGCACCAAATGGTATAGCATCCAGATTCTTAGAAGAGAAGTTCAGGGAGTTACAGGAAGAAATAGACAGTAAAACTATACTATTGGGGGACCTGAACCTCCCCCTCTCTGTGCACTAGATAAATCTAAACACAAAACAAACAAGAAAGAAGTTAAGGAAGTGAATAGAACATTAGAAAAGTTAGGTATGATAGACCTCTGGAGAAAACTGAATGGGGGATAGAAAGGAATATACTGTTTTCTCCGCAGTACATGGCACATACACAAAAATTGACCATGTGCTAGGGCATAAAAACCTCACAATCCAATGCAGAAAGGCAGAAATATTAAATGCATTCTTTTCAGCTCATAATGCAATAAAAATTATACGTAATAAAGGGCCATGTGAAGATAGAGTAAAAAATAATTGGAAATTAAATAATCTAATCCTAAAAAATGATTGGGTCAAACAACAAATCATAGAAACAATCAATAATTTCATTCAAGAGAATGACAATAATGAGACAACATACCAAAACTTATGGGATGCAGCGAAAGCAGTTCTTAGGGGAAGTTTTAGATCTCTAAATGCCTACATAAGTAAAACAGAGAAAAAGGAGATCAATGAATTGGGCATACAACTAAAAAAACTAGAAAAAGAACAAGTTAAAAATCCTCTATTAAACACCAAATTAGAAAAATTGAAAACCAAAGGAAAAATTAATAAAATTGAAATTAAGAAAGCACTGAACTAATAAATAAAAGAGCTGTTTTTATGAAAAAATCAATAAAACAGATAAACCTTTGGTTAATTTAATTTAAAAAAAGCAAGAAGAAAACCAAATTACTAGTATCAAGAATGAAAAGGGCAAAGCTACCACCAAGGAAGAGGAAATTAAAACAATAATTAGGAATTATCTTGCCCAACTATACGCCAACAAATTTGACAATCTTAGTGAAATGGATACATATTTACAAAAATATAAATTACCCAGATTACCAAAGAGTAAGTAAAATACTTAAATAACTACATCTCAAAATAAGAAATTGAGGAAGCCATTGAGGAATTGAGGAACAGCCCTTCCTTGAGGAAGTTAATAAATCATCTCCTTGCTGGATTAACAGTCTCTGAGAAATCTTTATTTTGAGGAGGGGGAGTACCATATACAGAGAGCAACTCCTTCTTTGATGCAGGCACTTCATGTTGGGCAGCCTTTGTCATCTTCTCACATGTCACAAAATCATTCCAAAGTTCTTCAGAGAGAACTTGAAAGTGTCCTTTCGTTGCTTCTTCTGACCACCAGGTCAGTGTCTTTCTTGCATGTGTTCTCCATAGAAGAATCTTTTAGGCAAATATATATTTGGCATTCGAATAACATGGCCAGCTCATCAGAGTAGCACTCTGTGCAATAGAATTTGAATGCACCAACGGAGAGATTGTGAAAAATCAATCCCTGGTGGAGTCAGTCTGAGTGACCCCACCTTTTAACCTTGCCTGACCTTTGGATACATGGGAAGTCAGTCTGAAGGTGGTTAAGCGCACTGATTCTTCTCTTTAGCCCTAATCATATCCTCTTAGCACTAACTCTATGACGCTACAATAGGGTAAGAGCTCAGGGGACAAAATCCCTGGTCCTCATTGATAACATGTATCAATCAGGATTATTTTACCATTCTATGGGTTTTAAGTCAAATCCAGGTTGGTGTGCTAATAAAGTCCCTTGGTCTTATTTCCTGAGGTTGCCCAATTTGACCATGGTAGGGCCATAACCAAGATTTTCTTTACCAAAATGCTTGCATGTGTAAAATTACTTACATGACAAAAAGATGACACAATTAGTCCAAAAGGGAAATGCAAAGATTTACATTTCAAAGATAATAGAAGTAGATCATATGATTTGGCTGATTTAATTGATCAACAAACTCAGAAAAGTTTCTAGCCAACGATTATCTTAAAACAGTGAGAGATCCTTTTGCCCCTGTCAAGATATTAGGAGAAACCCTATTTTTCCAGAGCTAAAGCTCAGCAAACAAGCTGTGCCTTGAGTTTGGCATAATAACAACCCTTTGCCCTCACCCTCTGGATGGTCTAGCCCCAAAATCTCAGAAATGTTTCGCACCAGCATCAGGAGATCTCTCAGCTTCAACAAGCGCTTTTACCAATGTTCTGGTCATGAAGTTCTACTCTTAATCAAACTGGTCACATTGTTGCTGTTACCCTCATTGTCAGGGCTATAGCTCCATGCAGAGTCTTTGTTACAAGTACTGAGGTTTGTCCATACTGCCTCTTCCTTTCCCCCACCCACTAGCTGTTTTCCTCACTTTGAATGTAAACTTCTGTTTGATTCTTGACGATCCTGTCTCTAATTTGCTTGTTCAGCTCCAGCCACTCACAAGTTAAAGACTGGTATGGTTGACAGGTGGACATTCTGGTACCAATGTGAGTGGACTAGGCATCATGGGTGATTTATTTCTCCAGGGCCTACCCTGCAACCACTTCATCTTGTGTATCCACTGCCCTTTCCTAGTTCTAATCCTGGGCTCATGCTCTGGTTGAGCTCACCTTTTTTTTTTTGTGAGGAAAACTCCAGAGACACTCCCTTGACCCAGTTCATTCTGGACCACTTTGGTATGGATTGCACACCTCTGTCAATTGGCCCTGCTGCCTATCTCTGTAAATTTACTACAACTGGCCTCTGGTTGTTTTGTTTTGTTTTTCTGCACCCCTCATCTCTGTGTGCCTTCGTAAAATTAGAATTTTAATTGTGCACTTAATTAAAATTGAGTTGTGAGCTAGCCTTCTATTTATACCTGTCTTATCATTTTGTCTGTGTGTCTTTGAAAAATGTCTGTGTAGATTCTTCTACCCTGAGAGATTTAAAATGCAACAAGTCAGAAAAACTGCTGAGGGGTATAACCAGTGAATTTGGAACACTGGGAAATGTTAATGAACTTTCATAGTTGAAGTAGTTATCCCAGTAAGAAGAACTAACTCCCACTTTGAGCTTTCCACAGGAGATTATGTTATAAGAAAAGAGAAAAAAAAACCTGTTAGACACTTTTTTCCCCTTACATTTCAATGCTAGCAAAGTTGGAATTACAGAAATAAAGTCAGATAATCAAAGTTTGTAGAACCATTAAAAGCATCTCAGTAGATTGTGGAGGTTTGGAGGTTAATCATTAAAGGTTTGAAGATTCATTATTTTAAGGTTGCAGGGGAGAACTCCCAAGACTTTGGGATAATTCCAGTAACTTACTCCCTTCTGAAATATTTCAGCAAGTTTTGTGGTACCACTCTATAGAATTTGTTTTAAGGAAAAATAAGGATTAAATTTTAAAAAGTTTTTGAAAGTAAATGGCAAGATTAATAGCTTCATTGTTGTAGGACAATGAAGGAAAGTATCTAGTTTAGGTTATATGGGGGGTAAGCAAGCAGTAGGTGAATGGTTTTACACTTTACATCAACCTTTTGTTAACCTTTACTTGAATTACGGTTTAAACCAGAGATTCCATGTAACTCCACCAGCTCAGAGACCCACTCTCTTTCTCTGTTAACCCTTTTCAGATCAAATTCCCAAATACAGGTATTGAAAAAAATTGCTGGAAAATGAAGGAAAACTTGAATTACATTCTGCTCCTCCAGCCGTGCAGTTCAAAACTTTAAGGCCACTGGGTGGAAGAGGGCAGCAGCTGCAGTGGGGCCTGATGATTGTAAAGAGCTTACACAGTGAGTGGCACATGTTGAACACTGTATTATTGTAATTTCTTTAATTGAATGTAATTGTTCCATGCCTGATAACTCTGAAGTGGTTTTAAAATGTCAAAAGTAATAAGACCAATGATTTTATATGTTATAATTTGGAAATGTAATTGACATCAACTGAAGCTTATTGTTTGCATCATTATTATTTTTCTAAATTCTCTTATACTGTGAAATTTCAGAGACCATTGTAACAGAAATGTTAGACAAAACAACTTTTTGACCTGGTTACTCAGATTTTGAATTGGGCTTTTAACAAGATGTGATAAAATATATGTTAAAAAACTTAAATATTTAATGAGGTATATTTTCTTATAAAACAGATAATGATAATGATAATGATAATGTTTACTATAATAGCAAATTTTCATTTGAAAATTCTTGGCAATGGAAATTCAATGCTTGGAAAGCATATAGGGTGATTTAAAGATGTAGTTTCAACATAATCAATGATGAGATCAGATTTTTGCTGTTTGAAGCCCCAGAATAAGGGAAGTACTTATAAGTAAGGGTAAATGAAATGTTAACTGCTGGGGAAACATCAAGAAAGATATTCAAGCCCTAACTTTTGATTAGGGAGATGTTTGTATTTAAGGTAAAAATTCCTGGGACATTAAGTTGTTATTTTTTGAGCTTTGATTACAGAGCTAGTTGTCTGAATTGTCATGAAGCCAGTAGTAGAAACAGCATGAGCTGCAGTCTGGGAACTGTTAAAAGTAGATGTCTATGCCTAGGAAGAGTTTTGGGGATGGCTTAGGCATGGCCTAGGTAGCACCTCCTGACTGTATTTCCCCATTTTATTACTTCCTTGCTGAAAAGGAAAACTTCCAGCTGGTTAACCCTGAGCCTTGTTTTTGATATACTGTGACATGATTGGCTGTCAGATATGATTCATACCTGGAATCAAATAGAGCTAAGGGAGTTTCCCCCTGTCTGTTATGATGCAAGACATGGTTATAATTATCTCCATCTTTTTTCTTTTATTGAAAATTTCTATAATCAAGAAGTTTTGTAAGTCCGATACTAAAT